TTCATGCCTAAACTTAACCAGCCATTCCCATAAAATAACCCCAACCCAGCCTTAACCCTAACTTTAACCATCTTACTCAGTCCACCTTAACCCTAACCTTAACCATCTTACTCAGTCCACCTTAACCCTAACCTTAACCATCTTACTCAGTCCACCTTAACCCTAACCTTAACCATCTTACTCAGTCCACCTTAACCCTAACCTTAACCATCTTACTCAGACCCACCTTAACCCTAACCTTAACCATCTTACTCAGACCACCTTAACCCTAACCTTAACTATCTTACTCAGACCACCTTAACCCTAACCTTAACCATCTTACTCAGACCCACCTTAACCCTAACCTTAACCATCTTACTCAGACCACCTTAACCCTAACCTTAACCATCTTACTCAGACCACCTTAACCCTAACCTTAACCATCTTACTCAGACCACCTTAACCCTAACCTTAACCATCTTACTCAAACCACCTTAACCCTAACTTTAACCATCTTACTCAGACCCACCTTAACCCTAACCTTAACCATCTTACTCAGACCACCTTAACCCTAACCTTAACCATCTTACTCAGACCACCTTAACCCTAACCTTAACCATCTTACTCAGACCACCTTAACCCTAACCTTAACCATCTTACTCAAACCACCTTAACCCTAACTTTAACCATCTTACTCAGACCCACCTTAACCCTAACCTTAACCATCTTACTCAGACCACCTTAACCCTAACCTTAACCATCTTACTCAGACCACCTTAACCCTAACCTTAACCATCTTACTCAGACCACCTTAACCCTAACCTTAACCATCTTACTCAGACCACCTTAACCCTAACCTTAACCATCTTACTCAGACCACCTTAACCCTAACCTTAACCATCTTACTCAGACCACCTTAACCCTAACTTTAACCATCTTACTCAGACCACCTTAACCCTAACCTTAACCATCTTACTCAGACCACCTTAACCCTAACCTTAACCATCTTACTCAGACCACCTTAACCCTAACCTTAACCATCTTACTCAGACCACCTTAACCCTAACCTTAACCATCTTACTCAGACCACCTTAACCCTAACCTTAACCATCTTACTCAGACCAACCTTAACCCTAACCTTAACCATCTTACTTAGACCACCTTAACCCTAACCTTAACCATCTTACTCAGACCACCTTAACCCTAACCTTAACCATCTTACTCAGACCACCTTAACCCTAACCTTAACCATCTTACTCAGACCACCTTAACCCTAACCTTAACCATCTTACTCAGACCACCTTAACCCTAACCTTAACCATCTTACTCAGACCACCTTAACCCTAACCTTAACCATCTTACTCAGACCACCTTAACCCTAACCTTAACCATCTTACTCAGACCACCTTAACCCTAACCTTAACCATCTTACTCAGACCACCTTAACCCTAACCTTAACCATCTTACTCAGACCCACCTTAACCCTAACCTTAACCATCTTACTCAGACCCACCTTAACCCTAACCTTAACCATCTTACTCAGACCACCTTAACCCTAACCTTAACCATCTTACTCAGACCACCTTAACCCTAACCTTAACCATCTTACTCAGACCACCTTAACCCTAACCTTAACCATCTTACTCAGACCACCTTAACCCTAACCTTAACCATCTTACTCAGACCACCTTAACCCTAACCTTAACCATCTTACTCAGACCACCTTAACCCTAACCTTAACCATCTTACTCAGACCACCTTAACCCTAACCTTAACCATCTTACTCAGACCACCTTAACCCTAACCTTAACCATCTTACTCAGACCCACCTTAACCCTAACCTTAACCATCTTACTCAGACCACCTTAACCCTAACCTTAACCATCTTACTCAGACCACCTTAACCCTAACCTTAACCATCTTACTCAGACCACCTTAACCCTAACCTTAACCATCTTACTCAGACCACCTTAACCTTAACCATCTTACTCAGACCACCTTAACCCTAACCTTAACCATCTTACTCAGACGCCTAAACTTAACCAGTCACCGCTTAAGGACATATTAAACTTTTTGACATGCGCAAACTGAACTTCCGGACGGATCCGGTTTTCGGGACGAATATGGGAGTGACATCTCCCATGGTGCATCTCTCTCTCTCTGGTATCTCCCATGGTGCACCTCTCTCTCTGGTATCTCTCATGGTACATCACTCTCTCTTCTATCTCCCATGATGCACCACTCTGGTATCTCCCATGATGCACCACTCTCTGGTATCTCCCATGGTAATAGTAATAGTAGTAGTAAGTAATCTTTATTTATATACCGCCTTTTCACTGCACATCTGAGTCTCAAAGCGGTTTACAATTGTTATTTTTGGGAGTGGTGCCAGTACAGGAGGCGCATGCCAGACCTATTGTACATATTTTTAGTGGTAGGGGAAACCGGAGCACCCGGAGGAAACCTACGCAGACACGGGGAGAACATGCAAACTCCACTCAGAAAGGCCCTGGTCCAACTGGGATTCGAACCCAGGACCTTCTTGCTGAGAGGCGAGAGTGCTATCCACTCAGCCACCGTGCCGCCCTCTCCAGAGAGAGAGGTGCACCTCTCTCTCTGGTATCTCCCATGATGCATCTCTCTATCTGGAATCTCCCACTCTCTTTGGTATCTCCCATGATGCACCACTCTCTCTGGTATAAATGGTGCCATGCTGTTGTGGTTGTCAAGGATACGGTGCAGAATGTGGCAGGTCATCAGCATGTTTCCCAGTGCAGTGTTGTGTTGCATTTAAACACACACAACCTCACTGCAAAAAAATATTAAATATAAGATATTTATGGCTTGAATTGGGTTATTTTGTATATTAATTTGTCGTAAAACTGGATTCTCCGATGGGAAAGGGACGAGTGGCAGAGATGATGGAGGTGAACGGAGCAAAACACAAGACAATGAGAAAGAAACAAACCTGAGACTGGGATAAAAGGACCATAACAGTTTAACAACAACAAATCTATAACCAACACCTTTTTCACAAAGATAGAAATCCTGGTTTTATTCCTTGTTTTGTCGTTAATGATTTGAGAATCATAACGAGACCTTTTTTAGTTCTGCGCCACATGGTACTTTACCAGTGAGATTAGCTCCACATGGTACTTTACCAGTGAGATTAGCTCCACGCGGTGAGTTTTCTGATTGGTGAAACGGTGGAGGGCGGGACATCGAAATGAAAACAATAACAAGATTTAGGGGCTGGAAAAGTAATTTAGAAATTCATTTATCTCTGAACTACTGTTATCAGTTAAAGAAGTATTGGAAAAGAACAGATTATTATTATGACAGATTAGGGCCCTTTAATGATGACATAAATCTTACATATTACTACTTTAAGAATAAAATAAAAAAAATGGATTGGATCAGTTTAAAATAATCCCAAACCTTTGAACTTTGTGGAAAAAGAGTTTAGTTTGAGTTCTCTCTGAGTTTCAGCCTCTGTGTCTTTTCTCCGCCGCTCTTTTGTTCTTCTTTAATGTCTTCTTCTCTTGTTTCCCAGAGGACGGCGAGGCGGTGAGCAGCTCCTACGAGTCGTACGACGAGGAGGAAGTGAGCAGAGGGAAGTGCCCGTTGGCGCAGCACCACTGGCCGTCTGTGGAGGCGCCGTTCGAGCTCATGAAGGATTCTCGCATCTGTGCTTTTCTCTGGAGGAAGAAGTGGCTCGGACAGTGGGCCAAGCAGCTCTGTGTGGTCCGGGACCAGCGCCTCATGGTGAGAGGGGTGCAGAGGAGGACACAGAGGGGTACAGAGGAGGACAGAGAGGGGGACAGAGGAGGACACAGAGGGGTGCAGAGGAGGACACAGAGGGGTGCAGAGGAGGACAGAGGAGGACACAGAGGGGTGCAGAGGAGGACACAGAGGGGTGCAGAGGAGGCCACAGAGGGGTGCAGAGGAGGACACAGAAGGGGACACAGAGGGGGACAGAGGAGGACACAGAGGGGTGCAGAGGAGGACACAGAGGGGTGCAGAGGAGGACACAGAGGAGGACAGAGGAGGACACAGAGGGGTGCAGAGGAGGCCACAGAGGGGTGCAGAGGAGGACACAGAGGGGTGCAGAGGAGGCCACAGAGGGGTGCAGAGGAGGCCACAGAGGGGTGCAGAGGAGGACACAGAGGGGTGCAGAGGAGGCCACAGAGGGGTGCAGAGGAGGACACAGAGGGGTGCAGAGGAGGCCACAGAGGGGTGCAGAGGAGGCCACAGAGGGGTGCAGAGGAGGACACAGAGGGGTGCAGAGGAGGCCACAGAGGAGGACACAGAGAAGGACACAGAGGGGTGCAGAGGAGGAAACAGAGGGGTGCAGAGGGGTGCAGAGGAGGACACAGAGGGGTGCAGAGGAGGACAGAGGAGGACACACAGGGGTGCAGAGGAGGACACAGAGGAGGACACAGAGGAGTGCAGAGGAGGCCACCGAGGGGTGCAGAGGAGGACACAGAGGAGGACACAGAGGAGGACACGGAGGGGTGCAGAGGAGGCCACCGAGGGGTGCAGAGGAGGACACAGAGGGGTGCAGAGGAGGACACAGAGGAGGACACAGAGGAGGACACAGAGGGGTGCAGAGGAGGAAACAGAGGGGTGCAGAGGAGGACACAGAGGGGTGCAGAGGAGGACAGAGGAGGACACAGAGGGGTGCAGAGGAGGACACAGAGGAGGACACAGAGGGGGACAGAGGAGGACACAGAGAGGTGCAGAGGAGGACACAGAGGAGGCCAGAGAGATGCAGAGGAGGACACAGAGTGGTGCAGAGGAGGACACAGAGTGGTGCAGAGGAGGACACAGAGGGGGACAGAAGAGGACACAGAGGGGTGCAGAGAGATGCAGAGGAGGACACAGAGGGGGACAGAGGAGGACACAGAGGGGTGCAGAGGAGGACAGAGGAGGACAGAGAGATGCAGAGGAGGACAGAGGAGGACACAGAGGGGTGCAGAGGAGGACAGAGGAGGACACACAGGGGTGCAGAGGAGGACACAGAGGAGGACACAGAGGGGTGCAGAGGAGGCCACCGAGGGGTGCAGAGGAGGACACAGAGGGGTGCAGAGGAGGACACAGAGGAGGACACAGAGGGGTGCAGAGGAGGAAACAGAGGGGTGCAGAGGGGTGCAGAGGAGGACACAGAGGGGTGCAGAGGAGGACAGAGGAGGACACAGAGGGGTGCAGAGGAGGACACAGAGGAGGACACAGAGGGGGACAGAGGAGGACACAGAGAGGTGCAGAGGAGGACACAGAGGAGGCCAGAGAGATGCAGAGGAGGACACAGAGTGGTGCAGAGGAGGACACAGAGGAGGACAGAGGAGGACAGAGAGATGCAGAGGAGGACACAGAGGGGGACAGAAGAGGACACAGAGGGGTGCAGAGAGATGCAGAGGAGGACACAGAGGGGGACAGAGGAGGACACAGAGGGGTGCAGAGGAGGACAGAGGAGGACAGAGAGATGCAGAGGAGGACAGAGGAGGACACAGAGGGGTGCAGAGGAGGACAGAGGAGGACAGAGAGATGCAGAGGAGGACAGAGGAGGACACAGAGGGGTGCAGAGGAGGACAGAGGCCTTTATTTCCCTCTGTGGGCCAGTTTGTCTCCGGTTTGCGGCGATTTCCACGGGCAAGTTATGTTTTCCGCACCAGCTGAGGAGTGATTGACAGCGCCTTTGACCAATCAGAGCTGACGTTTGCTGACTTCAGATTGTTTTGGTGTTTCCTCGGCCTGGATAGAACCAGAGCCAAGCCGTTACTAAAAACGTACCGGATAGTGGCTAAAGAGAACCGGTGGAAACGGGTCGGGTCGGGTCAAGTCGAGTTGTTAGAGTCGGGTCGAGTTGTGTAGAGTCGGGTCCAGTCGGGTCGAGTCGGGCCCGTGGAAACAGACCTTATTTGTCAAAGTGAGCCTCAGAGCAAAACCTTAAAAATTCAATTCAAACTTTTATGGATATTTTTTTAACACTTTTAAGTAATTTTAATTACAAAGCATTCTGGACTCAACAGTTCAGCATGTTCTATGTAGATTAAATAAAATGTAATCTAATCTAATCTAATCTAAGTAAGTAAGTAAGTAAGCTTTATTTATATACCGCCTTTCACAGACCAGAGTCACAAAGCGGTTTACAATTGTTATTATTTTTTGGGCATTTGTCTCTCACTCCACACAGAGATGGGAGCGGGGTCGCCAAACAGGAGGCGCATGCCAGACCTATTGTACATATTTTTAGTGGTAGGGGAAACCGGAGTACCCGGAGGAAACCTACGCAGACACGGGGAGAACATGCAAACTCCACTCAGAAAGGCCCTGGTCCGGCCGGGATTCGAACCCAGGACCTTCTTGCTGAGAGGCGAGAGTGCTATCCACTCAGCCACCGTGCTAATGTACCGTAAATGTAAATAACGGTGTGTTTTGGCGTTCTCAGTGTTATAAGAGTTCGAAGGAGCAGACGCCGCTGCTGGACGTGAGTCTGATTGGCTGCTCCGTGATCCACAAAGAGAAGCAGCTGAAGAGGAAGGAGCACAGGCTGAAGATCGTCCCTGTGGGAGGAGAGGCCATCGTCCTGGGCCTGCAGAGCAAGGAGCAGACGGAGCAGTGGCTCAAGGTGAACCCAGACCAGAGGAAAAACATCTGAATCTGAGCTCATTCTGACTGAGCTTTAAAACAAGATTTGTTTTAGAAAGATCCAAGAAATGTCTCGTTTCACTGAAAAAAGTAAAATAACATAAATCTTGCTTATTGTTTAATGGTGAGTTTTTTGTTGCTTGAATGTAGTTTGTCAGAGATTATTTTACTAGTTTTAAGATAACAATACTTCATAATCTGAAAAAAGTCTGAGCAGTGAGTTAAGAAAACATTTCTGTGTGTGTGTGTGTGTGTGTGTGTTTGTGTGTGTGTGCGTGTGTATGTATCTGTGGGTATCTATGTGTGTGTCTCTGTGTGTGTATCTGTGGGTATCTATGTGTGTGTGTGTGTATCTGTGTGTATCTGCAGGTGATTCAGGAGATTAGTCCAAAACCTTCTGAAAACTGTGACTCACTTCCATCTGACTCGCCCCGACTCCTCTGCACTAAGGTACACACACAGATACACACACACACACACACACACACACATACACGTTTTTGTTACCTGGTGGGTCCCTTTGACAGGGCCGTTCAGAATGGGACCCATAGACATAATCTTTTTTTACTGGGACTACTTTAAGTAATACAAAACAGTCAATAGAAACCAAACAACTATTTTAAAGGAATTTTATTTTAGATTTTGTTTTCGAATTGCAGTGATTCTATTTTTGACATAGAATTTAATGCCACTCCATGTCCGATGTCTAAGGTCATCTGGTGAGGCATTAATGCAGGCCAGGCAGTGAGACTTCCCAGGGACCTTTCCAGTCTGTATGAAAGGTGTCATGGTCTTCTCCACAGCCTTCACCTCAGATGCAGACCATGGCTTTCTTACACGTTCTAGGGAGAGAAATAAAAATATATTAGCAATATACACTCCCAGGGTGAGGACCAAGCAGCCTGGCTGTAATCCCCCACCTGGTACACTTACCAGAAGGGGCACTGCCACTACCATGGGGTGCATCTGGATGAATGGTTGAAGGTTCTCCGCTTGAAGTTTCTTTTAGCCCGTCCGTTTGTGAGAGGATCTCTACTGCTCTCCCTGTCGCACAGAAAATAAAAATACAAGTGGCCTTTAGGGGAAAAAAATCATACATATTTTAATAATATCAAGAATTACCTTCAGGCTCAATTTGTATCTGGTCGAGGCTCTTTCCTTCGAATTCCGTCACTCTTCCCTGCTCCATGGCCATCAACACTTTGCTGATTTTGGCCAGCTCCAGTGTCCCCTCTGGTAGTCTGTAATATTGCCTGTGGATGCGAATGTCATGGCCGAGGAAGTTGGCAAGTATGTCCATCTCATTCTCTTTCATATTGAGAACTGTAGACATAGTAGCTATGTGCTTTCTAAGTTTGGTTGAGGATAGCATCTCTGGATGCACCGCACCACATTCTTTGGCTACCTGGCGTAGGGAGTCTGATCCCCTGATGTGGGTGTCTGCGCCCGGGCGGGAAAAGAAGTATGGGTTATGGTCAGAGATGGAACAGGCCCTTCTGTTCTCCACCAGCACCTCCATCGAAGCAATCATTTCAGGAGTCAAAAGAACCGGCACTTTCCGACTTCTTTTCCCTTTAATTTCAATGCGTTGAAAATGCTGACACAGCTTTTTCTCAAGTTGGGACAGTCCCAGAGCAATGTCAGAATGGATCCCAGTCTTACTTCTTAAGGTAAAGGCTGTCAGTGGCATCTTTGAAACCTCACCTTCCCTTCTTCGATTGAAAATGATGACCTCACAAAGAGTCAAAACTGCCAGTTTAGACCAATGCTTAGACGTTGGCTCACTTATTAGGGTTTGCACATATTCAGGTCGACATACCTCAATATGTGCATGCATGGCTCTAACGTCCTCAGTCAGAGGGAGCAGGTCCGGAGTGTTCCACTTGGCTTGCCGGAGGGTCTGTAGGGCAGCAGAAGAAACACAGACGTCCCACCTCTTCTCAAAAAGCAGCCGGCTTCGTTGGAGGTTTTTAATAAATAGTTCATCAACACAATGCTCCATTTTTGAGTCACATTCAAGAATATCTGCTAGCTTTCTGAGGCTATGGCCGAGTTTGAGGGCCAAGGATGGAGTCTTGTATTGATTTGTTTCCTCATCATATCCAGCCACAGACCTGACTGCATCAATCACATGGTTAAAGTTGGAAGGAATAAAGAAATCCTTCATTGTTTTCAGTTTCCCTGCGGTTTTTGCTTCGTTAATTAACCTACCGACTTCTCTCATTTTCTGCCTAATGTAATCATGCTTAGTCTTATCATGCCCGTGTTTTAAGTACAGGTGCTCTCCGAGTCTCAGAATCCCCTTTTCTGCTTTGACAACACCCGTGACCTCATCCTGATGCATTGCCCAAATTAAAGACCACAGCTTTTTGCTGATGCCCTCCGGTACAGGCTGGGCTAGGGAGCAGAGGGACTGGACCCTACTTCTACCTGGTTTAGCCTGGGCATCTTTCTGTGAAAGCCGGCACCTGGCCACATGCCTCCACAGCGACTTTCGCTTAAGCAATGCCCCACAGTCTATACAGTGCAAAAACTCACTGGATTTAACTGGGGAATTTGGCTGTTTAGCTGGGACTAAAGTTCCAATGCCGGCCTTTAAAACCTCAAAATTGTGCTCACGGTTTCCACTATTCCTGATCAAATCAAACTGAAGTTTACGTGCTTTAGATTTCACAGGTAGAGCCAATGCTCTGGCTACGTCACTTTCATTTCCATGTTTTCTAGTCAAATGACGGGACATTTTGTGGCAGGACATTGAACAGTAGAGGCAGAAGTGTCTCTTGCTGTAAACTCGCCCCCCATTTTTCTTCTTTTGCAGCTGCATGATAACAATCTTATTTGCCTTTGGTTCGTCACTTTCCGAGTCTTGAAGAAAAGTGTTTTTGATTTTTCTTTTTCCATACTTTTTTACAGGTTTCTTCTTGACAGTTAAATCGTCAGAATCTGAGTCGACTTCATCAATTAGGGACTCTTGACTAAGCTGCACAAACAACAAATAATTTGTAATCATTCTATATAACAATTTGAAGTCATGACTTGTAGTCAGCACTTACCAGTGGTTTGTAAGCGTGCGCTTCAGTGTGCTCCTCCATGATTTCTTGCAGCCTAATGAACCACACACTTGCACCTTTTTCTAGCCTGACACCTGATTTCCTCTGTTGTGCTGCTCCATGATTGGCTCCAGCCTGCTGGACTGAAATTGCCCCAGTGTGCCCCTCCTTGATATCCCGCAACCCACCACCAGGGTTCCGACACATAACACACTTTTTTCAGGAAAGTAAACCTCCAGGGGTCCTTTCCATATTTTTACAGAGACTGCATAAGGACCGTTAGAAAAGCATTACCCATTGATTATTAAGCTTGGACCAGTGGGGTCCGGTGTTCGGGCCCCACCACGTAAAACCAGTCCCCATGACGTGAGTGGAATCTCAGGTTATGGAACCCACCAGGAGTTGAAAACAAGTGCACACAGATACACACACACACACACACACACAGATACACATACACACACACACACACACACACACACAGATACACACACACACACACACACATACAGATACACATACACACACACACACATACACAGATACACACATATCTCCGTTACCATGACAACAGGTGTGTGCCCATTTACAGCTAAAGTGCAATAGTTTGTATCAAAGTTTGTCTGAGATTGGCTGAGAGCTGATGGGCTGAGAGCTGATTGGCTGAGAGCTCATTGGCTGAGAGCTGATTGGCTGAGAGCTGATTGGCTGAGAGCTGATGGGCTGAGAGCTGATGGGCTGAGAGCTGATTGGCTGAGATCTGATTGGCTGAAAGCTGATTGGCTGAGAGCTCATTGGCTGAGAGCTCATTGGTTGAGAGCTGATTGGCTGAGAGCTGATGGGCTGAGAGCTGATTGGCTGAGAGCTGATTGGCTGAGAGCTGATTGGCTGAGAGCTCATTGGCTGAGAGCTCATTGGCTGAGAGCTGATTGGCTGAGAGCTGATTGGCTGAGAGCTGATAGGCTGAGAGCTGATTGGCTGAGAGCTGATTGGCTGAGAGCTCATTGGCTGAGAGCTCATTGGCTGAGAGCTGATGGGCTGAGAGCTGATTGGCTGAGATCTGATTGGCTGAAAGCTGATTGGCTGAGAGCTCATTGGCTGAGAGCTCATTGGTTGAGAGCTGATTGGCTGAGAGCTGATGGGCTGAGAGCTGATTGGCTGAGAGCTGATTGGCTGAGAGCTGATTGGCTGAGAGCTCATTGGCTGAGAGCTCATTGGCTGAGAGCTGATTGGCTGAGAGCTGATTGGCTGAGAGCTGATAGGCTGAGAGCTGATGGGCTGAGAGCTGATTGGCTGAGATCTGATTGGCTGAGAGCTGATTGGCTGAGAGCTGATTGGCTGAGAGCAGACATGTGGAAACTATTGATGGAGTAAAATCTGTTTTTGAGAGTTTCATTGTGTTGTGTTAAAATATAGATTCAATCAAAATTGCAATAAAGATAAAGAAAAAAACAAAACAAACCAGATGCAAAATATAAAATAAAAGAGACACAAGGACCATGGATCATATTTCATGACATTACATTGAAAGTTAGGTACCCCAGCTTTAAGCCTGTGTAAAAAGTGTGTTCCTATAGATATAGATATTTTTAAAACTTTCATGTTTGTTCAGGGGGAGCTCGGGGACAGACACTCAGTCGCATCAGAGAGCGGCAGCAGCACCGACAGTCACACGGACACATGTGACAACAGAGATGGTGGGTCTGGATTTATCACAACGTCCATGGTTCCTGTTTGTCCGGAACTCTCTGGTGTTTGTCTGAACTCTCTGGTGTTTGTCTGAACTCTCTGGTATTTGTCTGAACTCTCTGGTGTTTGTCTGGAACTCTCTGGTGTTTGTCTGAACTCTCTGGTGTTTGTCTGGAACTCTCTGGTGTTTGTCCGGAACTCTCTGGTGTTTGTCTGGAACTCTCTGGTGTTTGTCTGGAACTCTCTGGTGTTTGTCTGGAACTCTCTGGTGTTTGTCTGGAACTCTCTGGTGTTTGTCTGGAACTCTCTGGTGTTTGTCTGAACTCTCTGGTGTTTGTCTGGAACTCTCTGGTGTTTGTCCGGAACTCTCTGGTGTTTGTCTGAACTCTCTGGTGTTTGTCTGGAACTCTCTGGTGTTTGTCTGGAACTCTCTGGTGTTTGTCTGGAACTCTCTGGTGTTTGTCTGGAACTCTCTGGTGTTTGTCTGGAACTCTCTGGTGTTTGTCCGAACTCTCTGGTGTTTGTCCGAACTCTCTGGTGTTTGTCTGAACTCTCTGGTGTTTGTCTGGAACTCTCTGGTGTTTGTCTGGAACTCTCTGGTGTTTGTCTGAACTCTCTGGTGTTTGTCTGGAACTCTCTGGTGTTTGTCTGAACTCTCTGGTGTTTGTCTGGAACTCTCTGGTGTTTGTCCGGAACTCTCTGGTGTTTGTCTGGAACTCTCTGGTGTTTGTCCGAACTCTCTGGTGTTTGTCCGAACTCTCTGGTGTTTGTCCGAACTCTCTGGTGTTTGTCTGAACTCTCTGGTGTTTGTCTGGAACTCTCTGGTGTTTGTCTGGAACTCTCTGGTGTTTGTCTGAACTCTCTGGTGTTTGTCCGGAACTCTCTGGTGTTTGTCTGGAACTCTCTGGTGTTTGTCTGGAACTCTCTGGTGTTTGTCTGGAACTCTCTGGTGTTTGTCCGAACTCTCTGGTGTTTGTCCGAACTCTCTGGTGTTTGTCTGAACTCTCTGGTGTTTGTCTGGAACTCTCTGGTGTTTGTCTGGAACTCTCTGGTGTTTGTCTGAACTCTCTGGTGTTTGTCTGGAACTCTCTGGTGTTTGTCTGGAACTCTCTGGTGTTTGTCTGAACTCTCTGGTGTTTGTCTGGAACTCTCTGGTGTTTGTCCGGAACTCTCTGGTGTTTGTCTGGAACTCTCTGGTGTTTGTCCGAACTCTCTGGTGTTTGTCCGAACTCTCTGGTGTTTGTCTGAACTCTCTGGTGTTTGTCTGGAACTCTCTGGTGTTTGTCTGGAACTCTCTGGTGTTTGTCTGGAACTCTCTGGTGTTTGTCTGGAACTCTCTGGTGTTTGTCTGAACTCTCTGGTGTTTGTCCGAACTCTCTGGTGTTTGTCTGAACTCTCTGGTGTTTGTCTGGAACTCTCTGGTGTTTGTCTGGAACTCTCTGGTGTTTGTCTGAACTCTCTGGTGTTTGTCTGGAACTCTCTGGTGTTTATCTGGAACTCTCTGGTGTTTGTCTGAACTCTCTGGTGTTTGTCTGGAACTCTCTGGTGTTTGTCCGGAACTCTCTGGCGTTTGTCTGGAACTCTCTGGTGTTTGTCCGAACTCTCTGGTGTTTGTCCGAACTCTCTGGTGTTTGTCCGAACTCTCTGGTGTTTGTCTGAACTCTCTGGTGTTTGTCTGGAACTCTCTGGTGTTTGTCTGGAACTCTCTGGTGTTTGTCTGGAACTCTCTGGTGTTTGTCTGGAACTCTCTGGTGTTTGTCTGGAACTCTCTGGTGTTTGTCTGAACTCTCTGGTGTTTGTCTGAACTCTCTGGTGTTTGTCTGGAACTCTCTGGTGTTTGTCTGAACTCTCTGGTGTTTGTCTGAACTCTCTGGTGTTTGTCTGGAACTCTCTGGTGTTTGTCCTGAACTCTCTGGTGTTTGTCTGAACTCTCTGGTGTTTGTCTGGAACTCTCTGGTGTTTGTCTGGAACTCTCTGGTGTTTGTCTGGAACTCTCTGGTGTTTGTCTGGAACTCTCTGGTGTTTGTCTGAACTCTCTGGTGTTTGTCTGGAACTCTCTGGTGTTTGTCTGGAACTCTCTGGTGTTTGTCTGAACTCTCTGGTGTTTGTCTGAACTCTCTGGTGTTTGTCTGGAACTCTCTGGTTTTTGTCTGGAACTCTCTGGTGTTTGTCTGAACTCTCTGGTGTTTGTCTGGAACTCTCTGGTGTTTGTCTGAACTCTCTGGTGTTTGTCTGAACTCTCTGACCGTGTGTTGGTATCTTTACAGTGAAAAAGAAGTTCCAGTTCAGTAACCTCATGAACATCGGAAAAAAGAAGCCACTCTCTTTGGAAAGTCCAGAGAAGAGCCTGGACACGTCAGGTGAGAGACAAGGAAGAACCAGGAAGAACCAGGAAGTAGGAAGAACCCTCTAATCCAAGATGGCGTCCTGTTCAGATCAGTGGCTTGTGCTCAGTGGCGCCTCACCGTGGGCACCGAAAGATTAGCGGAACTCGCCCATATTTGGTAATTTCTCTGGTCCTCCCGGTTCTGCGCAGTGGTCGAACTCCCATGATGCTTTGCGCCAAATACGCGTGTGTGTGTGGCTCTCATGCACATGCACAGAGGGACAGCAACCAATCAGAGGGCAGCATTTACAATAAGATAAGATAAGATTGCTTTATTTATCTCACAGAGGAGAAATTTACATGTCACAATATTTGTGACAGCTGTAGGTTCTCTGTCAGGTTCTCTGTCAAGAAGTTGTTTTAGTTTACACTGAGTACTATGGACATTTTTCTGGGTTTAGTCTGCAGTACCACAGCGCCCCCTGTGGCCATGGGTGGGACAGCTATAATACTCTATCCAGATATTATTATAGATCCATGGCCAAGATAGATAGAAAAATGAATAGCTCCAAGTCATCTGTTGATTCTTTCAGATTACAGTATTAAATATTTGACAGTGCAGTAAACCATGTGTATTTTCCAGGTTACCTGAACGTCCTGGTGAACAGTCAGTGGAGGACCTGCTGGTGTCTAATCAAGAACGGGCAGCTGTGGTTTTATCAAGAGAAGAACAAGTCAAAGATCAGCCAACCGTCCGTCAGCCTGGAGGGGTGCAGCGTGTGCCCCGACCCCAGCCCCGAGCACCTGTACTCCTTCAGGATCCTCCTGGACGGGACGCAGCCGACCACGTTAGAGGTACCGGCTCTGACACACCAACACCATAACATCAGGCTGTTCACAGGCGGACATTTTAACACTCCAACACCATAACATTCAAATTAATTCAATATATTCTTGTATTTCCCTCCCATGGTATTGGACCATAGGGAGAGACCACATGGTATTGGACCATAGAGAGAGAACACATGGTATTGGACCATAGGGAGAGACCACATGGTATTGGACCATAGGGAGAGACCACATGGTATTGGTCCATAGGGAGAGACCACATGGTATTGGACCATGGGGAGAGACCACATGGTATTGGTCCATAGGGAGAGACCACATGGTATTGGACCATGGGGAGAGACCACATGGTATTGGTCCATAGGGAGAGACCACATGGTATTGGTCCATAGGGAGAGACCACATGGTATTGGTCCATAGGGAGAGACCACATGGTATTGGACCATGGGGAGAGACCACATG